GTAAGCGTACGTTACGTAAGGAAGGATAAGATCCCAGTTGGTGTGGTCGGAGGCGATATACATAGAAAGCATGTCGCCAAGAGTACGGTTGAAACGCTCGGTCAAGCCATTTGTTTGTGGGCGATATGCGGTAGTACAGCGGTGAATTACATGGCATTCTGCAAGACGTTCTGGAATAACATCCGCAAGAAAGACGCGGCCTCGGTCGCTCAAAAGTTCACGTGGAGCACCATGACGCAGAACAAAACGTTGCAGCAGGAAATACGCAACGTCACGTGCCGTCGCGGCTGGTAGAGCGGCCGTTTCTGCATATCTCGTGAGATGGTCGATCGCTACAATAATCCAGCGATTCCCAGCTGATGTATATGGTAGAGGACCATAAAGGTCTATTCCAAACCGGTCGAATGGTCGCAGTGGGCACGGTAACGGCTGCATTGGTGCAGTAGGACGGCTAGGATCGTGCTTGCGGCGTTGGCACGCTGTGCAAGATCGAATGTACTTTTGAACGAATGTGTACATGCCGCGCCAATAATATCGAAAACGTAGCCTAGCGTAGGTTTTAAACAAACCGGCGTGCGCACACTGCGGATCGGCATGGAAAGCAGCACATATGCTGGCGCGGAGATGCCTGGGTATGACGAGTAGCCATTTGCGACCGTCAGGGTGGTAGTTGCGGCGATAAAGTATTCCATCACGGATGGCGAAGTGAGAGGCTTGTCGGTGTAGCGCTCGAGATGGCGGGTGGGCGAGTGTTTCGGATAGGTAATCCATCAGAGACGCAATCCACGAATCTTTGCGCTGCTCCGCAGCCATGTTGATGGGTCCTGATAGTGGAAGGAAGTTGTCTCGGATGGAGACACTCGCAATATCAGTAGAAACAGGCGAACGCGAAAGAGCGTCGGCATCGGCGTGCTTCTGGCCTGAGCGATAAATGACGCGGATGTCGTACTCTTGGAGCCGTAAAGCCCATCGTGCCAAGCGTCCTGAGGGATCTTTGAGGGAGGATAACCAGCAGAGCGCGTGGTGGTCGGTAACAACATCGAAAGGGCGGCTGTACAGATAAGGCCGAAATTTTGTAATGGCCCAGATAATCGCTAGGCATTCTTTCTCAGTTACCGAATAATTTGCTTATGTTCTTGTAAGAGTGCGGCTCGCGTACGCAACAACATATTCTTGGTAACCAGGCTTTCGTTGGGCGAGTACAGCGCCAAGACCGACACCGCTAGCATCTGTGTGGATTTCTGTGGGAGCGCTTGAATCGAAATGACGCAGTATGGGTGGTGTTGTAAGCAGTTCACGGAGCTTCTCAAAGGCACTGTCGCAAGCTGGAGACCACGCAGATAGATTGCGGTCTCCCTGAAGTAGGTCTGTCAGAGGCGCCATGATCGAGGCGAAATCTCGGACGAAGTGGCGGAAGTATGAGCAAAGCCCAATGAAACTACGCAGCTGCTTGAGAGACGCGGGCCTCGGGAACTCGCGAACAGCACGTAGCTTAGCGGGGTCAGGAAGAACACCATTCTTCGACACGACGTGTCCGAGAATGGTCAGCTTGCGCGCTCCAAAGTGACACTTCTTCAAGTTGAGTTGGAGGCCTGCTGCAGAGAGGCAGCGTAGAACCTGTTCCAAGCGACGAAGGTGCGTGGGAAAATCGGGCGAGAATACCACTACATCGTCTAAGTAGCACAAACACGTGTTCCATTTGAGGCCTCGTAGGATAGTGTCCATCATGCGCTCAAATGTTGCCGGCGCATTGCATAGCCCGAATGGCATCGCGTTAAATTCGTATAAGCCGTCTGGTGTAACAAATGCAGTTTTTGGCCTATCATCCGGATTCATGGGCACTTGCCAGTACCCAGAGCGTAGATCAAGGGAGGAAAAGAACTCTGCGCCTTGTAAAGAGTCGAGGGCGTCATCAATTCGAGGCAAAGGATAAACATCCTTTCGTGTTATTTCGTTTAGGCAACGATAATCTACGCAAAAGCGTATCTTGCCATCCTTCTTTTTAACTAAAACAACCGGCGACGAAGGACTGTTTGACAGTTGAACGACGCCTCGCTTTAGCATGTCACCTACTTGTTCATCGATGATACGGCGTTCAGTTGGCGAAACACGGTATGGTCGCTGCCGTAGTGGTGGGTGATTACCTGTGTCGATCTGGTGGCATAAGGTAGATGTGCGACCTAAGTAGCGCTGTGACTGTCAAAAGATGGTCGAAACTTGTCAAGGAGGCTCAAAAGCTCACACCTCTGTTGTGGGTTTAGGCCTTCGTCGATGACACGGTTGAAAATGTCGGTAGTGGAAGGGTCATTCACGGAACTACAGGAGAGGGCGCTGACTTCCGATGATTCATCAGGAACGTCAAGTGTAGCGATGGTTTCGAATGATTCTATCGAACAAATACATTCGCCTCGAAGTAGCGTAATCGTGAATGGGAACGGATTCTCCACAGGCACGTTGGTCGCACCACCTTGAAGAGTAACGAGAGCGGTTGGGAGCGGTGATAGGTGGCGATGAACGAAAGCAGCGGAAGGCGTGAAGAATGCGGTAGCGTCGACGACGGTGGAACACGACACAGGTGCGAAGACAGCAGCGCGTGGAGGGATTTGGGTGTCGTCACTAATGACCAACTTCGCGTCGGAAGGGCGATCGTGCACTGGTAGCGCATCACCAAGGGGACAAAAGGCGACTTCGGCACGGGCGCAATCAATGACGGCTTGGTGATGGGAGAGAAAATCTCAACCTAAAATGATGTCATGAGAACAGTGCGGGAGTACTACGAACTGAACTGTGTAGGGCACTCCTTGAATTACAAGTCTGGCAGTACACGCGGCCACAGGCTGCACAGGCTGTGCAGTGGCAGTATGAAGACATGAACCCAAGTAAGGCGTTGTCACTTTTCGAATTGAACGGCAAACTTTTTCGGCGATGACAGAAATTGCGGCACCAGTATCAATAAGGGCAAGTACGGGTACACGTTCAAGAACGGCATTAATTACATTCGGCGGCGAACGAAGAGGGCTTTTGCTTTGCGACGAGGACGCAGTTCTTGCCTCGGGAACTGCGTCATTTAGTTTTCCGCTTCGATTGTCGGGGGGCGTCGGCGCATCGGGGAGGGCGAGCGTCGACGTGGAGAAGGAGATCGGCGATCAGGAGCTGGTCGGTGGCTTGGACGAGGAGCGTACAATTCGGGGTCTGGGGTGTATTGAGTGTACGTGTAAACGTTCTCGTATGGACGTAGGTTTTCACGTGAGTGGAGTGGGCGGCGGCGGCACAGACGTGCGACGTGCCCAGGTAGACCACACGAAAAGCAGATCGGTCGGTTGTCGGCAGTGCGCCATGGATTAGGGACTCGGCGAACTGGAGGTCGTGGCGGCTGGGCGGCATAAACAGGAGCAGGCTGTGGAGGCGGCGCTTGGAATGTCTGTGGTCGTGGTCGTGCTGCTGCTTCGGCGTACGTCAATGGTGCATTGACTGGTGGCACCAGCTGCAGAGGAAGGACCTCAGACACTTGATCTCGTATAATAGTCCGTAGAGTAGGGCTAAGCGGTGCACTGCGCTCCGGTAGGCCAGAGATGAGCGAGAGTTGGCGGGCAACTTCTTCGCGCACGAAATCTTTGGTCTGCGAGAGGAGGACGGGGTCTTGCGAGGGAGTTAAGCCGGACATCGATTCCTGATGTGGGACAGCACGGCGGGTGACGAGACAATGCCGGCGGAGCTCATCATAGCTTTGGCAGAGCTCGGTAACTTGGGCGACAGTAGCAGGGCTTTTTGAAATGAGCATCTGGAAAGCGTCCTCGTCAATACCCTTAAAAATATGCTTGATGCGGTCCACCTCTGTCATGTTCACATCGACGCGCTTGCACAAGTCAATGACGTCTTCTATGTAACTTGTAAAGTTCTCACCAGGCAGTTGAGATCTCGACTGAAGGTGCTGCTCCGCACGAAGTTTGCGGACAGAACGACGACCAAAGACTTCCCTGAACTTTGCTTTGAATGCTGTCCAGGTGGGAACGTCGGTCTCATGGTTCCGAAGCCATAAGTGGGCAATGCCACTGAGGTGAATGCCGACAGTGGCCAGTCTCGTGGCTTCGTCCCATTTGTTCAAGACACTCACGAGTTCGTAAGTAGCCAGCCAGTCGTCGACGTCGTGGTCGTCAGTGCCGCTGAATATGGGAGGATCCCGCTGACGGACCGCGCCAGAGCACACAATGGCCTGGGAAGCCATAGGAGGAGGGCTTGTGGCAGATGCAGTGGTCATGACAGCAGGTACAGTCCGGCTTCGCAACTCCAGGATTGCAAGGAGACCCCGCACCTCCACCAATTATAATATAGAACGGAGACAGTCAAAACTGTTATCCGAGACCAGGTAGGAGCGTAGGCCTAGCTAGCAAAATCAGCGACAGTCCGGGCCGAGCGTCTCGTGCTTAGCACTGACAATGTGTGTGCCAAGATTTGCATGACCCACTACAATCATCATTACAATATATATATATATATATATATATATATATATATATATATATATATATATATATATATATATATATATATATATATATATATATATATATATATATATATATATATATATATATATAATGATATTACAAGCTGTTCGATGAACCAATACTATATTTCCGTGTGGATCTCATTTGTAGGAATGTTTGGTTTGTACGTTGTCAAGCCGATGGACGGATGAATGTCAATATAAAAACGTAACAACTGGTTATTCAGCTGGCAGAAAGTAAACTGTCATCTTGTTTCGTTGGTGTATTTTTTGCGTTTACAAAAAAAAAGAAATATGACAAGCATCGGGTGAGCTTGCTAGAGCTGACGTTCTTCTGGGTAGCGAAGCAAAATGAGCAAATTGCAGGCTTGGCAGCTCAGTTTTGCAGCCACCGCCGCTGATGTATGCCCGGGTGAAGCAGCCGTGGCATTGTGGCTTATGGAAATTCAGTGCAGTGTGTAGCCGTGTCACGCCGTGTTAAATGATAGCGAGGTAGAGGCTTCGCGGAATTCTGCGCTGATTGTGTTGCGACGTGTTCTACGCATCCCCCTCCCTTTTTGAAACGGTGAACGCGATATATGTGTTGGACTGAGAGAAGTTGCTTACTGGACGTGAAGATATTGCCGACGGTATCCAACCAGCCAGCATCCAAATGGCTGTGGCAGATGATGTGCACGTTCAAGTAGTCATTGGACAACGCCGGGCAGCTCTGATGTGGGGCGAGAAATGCAGTGCGTGGTCAGAACATTTTGCAAGACATCACAGACACATAAGTGAAATTTCAAGCAAAGCAAAAATAAATTGAATCGTCGCACTTGTTCCACCTTGGATAATGACGCGATACTGCGTAAACATAAATAAAAAAATGCTTGTGTTTTCCATTTAGCACCTATGTTGGCTCATGCTCAGGTTCCCCGCTTTTCTCCCTTCTTTGTAAGTTCCCAACACCGTTTTTAGTCTTTTCGTTTCATTAAATGGGTTGGTAGATGCACTTCATTGGTGTCATCCCCATTTCATGTGTTTTAAAATTTGCAGCGCTGACTTTTTATCATCCGGTGTGTTGCAAATAGCCTCAACACAAGCTCTTCTCAACACGAACAGAGCTTCGTTATTGACGTATGCATTTCACCCCAAACTAAGAACCAATGCAGTCTTTGAATTCCCATCGATTGTTGTTGCCATTAAGATCAAACAGTAAACGGGATGGTCAAACTGCATATTTCGCTTTGTTCCGCCCACATGTATTTACTACCGGAGGTCGCCATGTCACTGCGTGCCATTTGCCCTAAGGAGTAGCATGCATGTCATCTATCTATCTATCTATCTATCTATCTATCTATCTATCTATCTATCTATCTATCTATCTATCTATCTATCTATCTATCTATCTATCTATCTATCTATCTATCTATCTATCTATCTATCTATCTATCTATCTATCTATCTATCTATCTATCTATCTATCTATCTATCTATCTATCTATCTATCTATCTATCTATCTATCTATCTATCTATCTATCTATCTATCTATCTATCTATCTATCTATCTATCTATCTATCTATCTATCTATCCATCCGACTGACCTGCCATATCTGGCAATCTGCCAGGGTCGAATCTAGCGATGATTGAAAGAAACAATATGATGCAAATGAGCAATTTCTATAGCAAGCCAGTGGCCCGGAAACATAAGATTATCAATAGCAAGGCTTCTTAATGACTAGTCGTAGCCAAATGAAAGGCGACCAAGTAGTTACAAAGTTAAATGGCTTTGGCGTGTCGTAACTTGAAAGCGCTATCACGGACCGCTAAATATTTGATTACGATGGCATGGTATGGTATGGAAAAAACTTCATTTAGGTCCGTCCTGGCGTGAACTAGCACGTAGCGGGCCGCTCCCACGTCGGGACAGATAGGCCTAACCTCTCCGCCACGTCGGGACCGTTGGACTTCCTATAGCCGTGTGCCAGCCTAAAATTAGGTATGAAAGCAGAAATCACACTGAACTTAGGGAAGACGCGAGAACAACATCACGCATTTTTGTTATGTTTGACTCGTTCGTATTTAAGTTGTTTATGACTGCATACATCTATCTGTATTTCGGTAAGCCTCCACCTATATACGTCAATAAACTTAACCATTGCGGTGTTGGGCATCGGCAAAATAGCTCAAAAAGGCACTTGACACTCCACCCTCCCTTCCCCAACCACAACGACAATTGCCTGCGCCCCCCCCCCCCCGGCAATTCAACACTGGTTTGTACACCCCAAGCAGATAAACAACCGTCATTGTAGTTCAAAATTTCACCTGAAATCCGCAGCCGTTTCCCGTGGAGTGCTTGCGCGAAGACGACCATCGGCCCGAGGCGGTGGCTGCAAGCAGAACGAGCCACAAGAGACGTGCCATCCTTGGGCGCCAGCGAGCGGGCCAGGCTGACCAGCGTCGTCGTCGGGTGAACTCTTTTTGCTTCGACGCTGCACAGAGCGATGCCGCCGAACCCCGTAGGTGTATTGCGGTCTTGGCTCGCATTGCATTGCTGCTGTCGCGACTGCTCTGGTTACGCAGGCTGCTTTCTCACCGCGCAGAAAGGCTGCTTGACTGCAGTGTTCTTCGAGTGTCCTCTGTTAATAACTACCGTCGCATTTCGATAGAGGGGTCAATTCACCTTAGTAGTTTACACATTTGAGAATGGGCAGGCTGGGAGAGAGAAAAAAAAAACGACAGCGGGTGAGCACATACGCGTCTTGCGACGTTTTTCTCCAAGCCCGTAGTGTTTGAAAGTGCAGATTATCTATTGGCATATCTGGAAAGTGGTCTCCGAAATTTAGTGACAGATGAAATGAATAAGGTAAAGCGATTAAACGATGTCGAACGTGGATCGAAAATCTTCACGAAACGATTGGTCCCTTTCCATCTGCGCCAAGTGTTCAAAACCACAGCTTTATCTCGAAAATTGGCAAAGTAAGTGATAATCAGTCTTGTTAATTTTGCCTACAGGTTTTCAAAGATTGTGAATTATTTCGCAGGGTACATCCTACATTTTCAATATGTTTCGAACAATTGTTTCACTTAAAACACTTCAAAGGAGTTAACGAATTGCACGCGATAACATATTACACACGTAAATAAATTATGTATGTTAATGGGAATTCTCGGTAACCAGTACACTTGCGAGGTACCATAAATAATCAGTTTTCATGAGGTAGGGAACGTGCACTATTCCATTAGTATCCTTCATTCTTCGGAGAAGCATGGTGACCGCTACACATCTGTAAGGTATTATACGTACTTCTTTATGTTGGTTGTGCCTACGCCTTTTGTAATGGGTTGGAAGCAGTGTTGCCAGTTCAGCTTATTATAAGTGGATTTGGGTTTCATTTTTCAGCGAGACGCTTGCAAATTTTTATGGTCGCTTGTCACGTTTTTTTGGGCTTACCTTTGCTCTTTCAGAAAATAATGTTGCATCGCCCAGCACGGAATGCGTTATCAAACGCGACAAAACTACGCTTCCCTACACCAGTCGGTGCTTCTAGCACATTGGAACTTAAGTACGCACACACGAAGACACACAAGAAAGGAACACGCTGGACCAGCGCAGACTAACAACTGATCGTTATTCACCAAGAAACCATGAAATGTACTTTTATTCGCGCACCTTATGAACACAACGCATGAGCAAATCGGCATACTACAATCATTCACATAAACTGATAAGACCTTCACAGTAGACCGCGGAATCTCCTATCTTGTTCAGCAATTCAGTTTCTTTATCATTCAGCGAAACCGAAGAGGGACTGACGCACATGTTCTTATGAGACATGACGTCCTTATGATGTGAGATTACACCTTCTACAGTAAGGTCTTATCTGAATGATTGTACGATGCCGATTCGCTCATGCGCAGTGTTCATGAGGGGCATAAAAAGAGTATATTTGGTGGTTTCTTAGTGAATAAAGACCAGTTGTCAGTCTGCGCTGGTCCAGCGTGTTCCTTTCTTGTGTCCTCGTGTCGTCGTAGTGCATTGCTATGGCTTCGAAGTGGTCAAATCAGGGCAAGAAGTACCGTAAAGAGTGGGAAAAGGAACCGCAGCTAAAGGACTGGTTACGTCCATTCATCGGGGACTATAATAACGTTGCATGCAGCCATCTCCGCATGCCTCGCGATCTCGGAGGCGATCGTTCTGGCAATGCCGCTTGTCCTTTATCACCTCACTAAGCCCCCCCCCCCCCCCCCCCCCCCCCCCGAGCTCCACTTATCAAAATAGGAGAATGCATCACGGGAAAATGAAAACAAAAAGGGCAGGTTGCGCTGACTGTAGCTGCATTGAAGTGGCGCAACATATGCAAAAACTTGGGGGACCCCTATAAGCTTCAATTTTAATAGTTGAACGCGATAGCGATATTGTGTCTCTTCTGCGAAACACTTGAATAAATTTTTTTAGCATTTGCTATGCACTCACTACGTGGCCTTAAGTGAATACACGCAGTAGCGTGTGTACCTTTTATATTGATTGACTGGCTTTACACCATGAATTCGTTATGGTAATCACATGTACTGGCACCCGATGACAATGTGCGCTTATGCCACACATAATTACGGCAATATTTCAAGTTGTACTGTGAAGAATGTATACAGGATGCGTGTGTTTCTAAAGCATCAAAGTTACTTTCACTGCATTTCTGGGCAGAGGAAGTGAAGTTATTTTCACTGTCTTCACAAGCATATGAAGTATGCTGTGCGTAGTTCACAATTACTGGCGATAATTTGATGCAGTAAAAAAAAATGAGTGACTGTGAGGTAGAACATGTGTCTGCCACGTAAACAACATGGGTTGAATCCCCACTCAAACCATGAGTTTTTTTATTTTATTTGCATCCTTCTCAACTTTCAGGCTACACACATTATTATTATTATTATTATTATTATTATTATTATTATTATTATTATTATTATTATTATTATTATTATTATTATTATTATCAAAACGCACAAGATGATTATTTTTCGTTGACAACCAAGGACGCCCAAATTTTTGCGAAACGAGCTTCTTAACGCTATCACGTTAACATCGTTGTTCAACAATTTTTTTTTTGTACTTGAATATACTGCAGGCTCAATTGGTCCTTTCAAATAAAAAATTACAATCATAAACAGCAACAAATGACTTGCACTTCGATAACAAATGATCCAATAGTAGTGCAGTTCACAACACTATCTGGTAACTTGTTTGCTGATTGATTGATTGTTGGTGTTTACCGTCCCAAAACCACAATATGATTATACGAAAGGCCAAGTGGAGGGCTTTGGAAATTTCGATCACCTGGGGTTCTTTAACGGGCACCCACATCTGAACACATGGGCCTAGAGCATTTGCGCCTCCATAGAAAATGCAGCCACCGCAGCCAGAATTCAATCCTGTAACCTGCAGGTCAGCAGCCGAGTACCACTAGACCGTCGATGCGGGGCATCCGGTAACTTGTTTCACTCAAAATCGCTAAGGAAAGAGCGAGTATTTGTGCGTGTTAACGTGGCTCGAAAATTGTCAGATTTTCTTCTTTTTTTGTGTGTGGTTAGTTATCGATGAGTGTATAAAAATGGCGTAAAAAACGTGACTTTGGAATTTGGAATGAACGTGGGACAAAAGATAAATGGATTTAAGCTGGGAAACTATTCTTTGTTGTAAATGTTGCTTAAGGTTCGCTTTCGCTAATAGTTCAGAGACGCTGCATTGTCTAGAATACGCAGAGGATATGAATCTCACGGTTAGTTTTTGTGTTCGTTCAATTTTATCACTTAAGTGTTTTGGCAAAGGCTCCAGATTGAATTGGCATACTCTAATCAGGGTCTAAGAAGTGTTTTTCAGGCATTAAATTTCGCATGCGGTTCAGTGTTACGTAGCTTCCTTCGTAAGAAAGAGAGTTCGCATTCGGTGGTCTGACAGATGGAGAAGATGTGAGGTTCCCACTTGAGATTAGACGTGAGGGTAAGGCCCAAGTATTTTACCTGATGGAATTTTTCAAGTGTGGTGTTACCCAGGACATAACTGAAATTGATTGGATTTTTCTTGTAACAAACTTAGTTTTTGGTGCGTTGGGTCTCACGCCCCATGTACTGCACCAGGAACAGATAGATTGCAGTGAATTATTCATCTATATTTGATCGCTTGGATAACGTGTTATTGTGTATACTACACAGCCGTCAGCAAAAAACAGCATTTGAACCATACCACGAATACTGAACTACATATCATTAATATACATAAAAATTGTACGGGAACAAGAACAGACCCCCGCGGGATCTATAAGTAGACATGAAGTTTCTGGAAAGCTTGTTTTCCAATGAACACGCTTTGTGTTCGAATAATAAAAAAATCTAGAACTCCAAGAGATTATTTTGCGTTCTATACCGAATGCTAATAATTTTGTAAGTAAACTTTGATGCGGAAGAACGCTGACCAATTTGAAACAAATATTAAAAATAGTGTTTATTTGATACCTATAATTATTTGTATTAGCAATTTCTTCAGTTCAGCACGTTGTGTGACCATTGCAAAGCCTGATCTAAATCCTTGTTGTCGACTGTCGTTCGTTAATCGTTGCCTTACCGCGGTGGTCTGGTGGCCAAGATACTCGGCTGCTGACCCGCAGGTCGCGGGATCGAATCCCGGCTGCGGCGGCTGCGTTTTCGATGGAGGCGGAAATGTTGTAGGCCCGCGTGCTCAGATTTTGGTGCACCTTAAAGAACCTCAGGTGGTCAAAATTTTCGGAGCCCTCCACTACGGCGTTTCTCATAATCATATGGAGGTTTTGGGACGTTAAACCAAACATATCAATAAATTAATATGTGAGGTTTAAGGTACTAAAACGAAAGACGCAAAGTTTGTTTCTTTGTAGCGAGCGAAACATGACAGAGTCGTCTGCGTGCGCATAATTTTCAACTAACATGGGCAGTGGTTCTTTGTGGTGTCGCGCTGTTGATAGGGGACACGATAAAATGATCGATTTGGGATCTTAAATACCACTTTTGGTGCATACATTATATCCATTGATTGATATGTGAGGCTTAACGTCCCAAAACCACCATATGATTATTAGAGACGCCGTAGTGGAGGGCTCCGGAAATTTAGACCGCTTCGGATTCTTTAACGGCACCCAAATCTGAGCACACGGGCCTACAACATTTCCGCCTCCATCGGAAATGCAGACGCCGCAGCCGGGATGCGAACCCGCGACGTGCGGGTCAGCAGCCGAGTGCTTTAGCTACTAGGCCACCGTGGCAGGGCAACAGTACATCCATAGAGAATACTGCTTGCAAAGATTATGCCAAGAGCCGACGATGACGACGAGCTTATTCTGGTATCTTGAATCACCAATTGATCAAGTGAAAAACTAAACGCAGTGTAGGGTAGTGAATACAGACTTCATGTATCCCGTCTGTCATGTGAAAGAGTATTCCAGTTTATCCCAGGT